GGGTAAGGGCGGGGCTGAATCATTTCCGGCGGGAGTTGGTCCCACGGTCCCTCCCTTGTCCCACCCCAGGCTGAGAATGATGCTAACGTTAATTGATAACCTCAGGGAGTCCTCACAACTACCCCTTGAGGGCAGGGCTACTATTGCCCCCATTTTACGGATGAGGAAATTGAGGCCCAACCCTATATAACTAGGAAGAGCCTAGTAAGGGCTGTCGTACAGCTGGACGGATCGTAACTATTTCCACCTCCTCCTGGCTCCCAGCATCCTCAGCATCGCAACATCAAGTGGGTGTGTCAAAGCACTGCCGAGATTCTCCTCAGTGTCCCAACTTCTCATTCCTCCCAGACCTGCGGTAAGTGTCAGCCACCTCTTTGGTAGGGAGAGGGTTGCAACAGTTGCTCTAGGGGTATGGAACCCTGACTACTCATGACAGTTGTGGCCTATTTGTCTTCAAGGGGCCAACCATCGTTCTTTCGGGAGCCGCCTTTATCCACACAGAGTCTTAAGATTTTGCTCCATCAGACACCTGACCTGGGGTCCCTGAAGAGTGACTGCTCACAAGTCACCACGGTCAGGAAGACCAGCCAGTGAGTTATAGGAGGGATGGGAGTAGGGGAGTGGGAAGAAAGGATATTTCTTTCCTGCTGTTCTTTCCTCTTTTACCCATCCATCCATGAATCTGTCTATCTACTACCTATTCATCCATGAATCTGTCTATCTACTACCTATTCATCCATTCATCTGTCCATCCATGAACCAGGTTTTCTTCCAAAGCATTCATAATCCATCCATGAATCCAACCATCCATCCACTCATCTGTCGTTACATAGATCTATCCATGAATAATGTCTTCTGCTTGAATTATCCATCCATCCATTTATTAATCAGGTCTTCTGCCAACACATTTATAGTGCATCCATGAACTCGTTCATGTATTCATTCTCCCATTTGCCCATCCATCCTTGCATACATCTTATCCAAGAACCAGGTCTTTTACCAATCTATTCACGAACTTCTCCATCTATCCATGCAGCCTTCTATCTACTCTTGAACCTATGACTCCATCCATCCATCCATCCATCCATCCATCCATCCATCCATCCATCCATCCATCCACCCATCCACAAAATCTCATGATTCTGTATAGCCATCCATGAATCCAACCATCTGCAAATCCTTCCATCCACTTGTAAATCCAGGACACTATCCATCCCTAATCTAGTCATGAAGCTATCCATAAATCCATACTCATTTACATAATCATCCATCCGCTTATTCACCATGATTCAGTACTTCTATTCAGATCATTTTATTAATTCATTCAACAGTCCATCCATCCATCCATAACCCACCCACCCAATCTTCCATTCTTTTACCCATCCCACCATTCATTCATCCATTTCTTCCTCTAACTTTTATTAGGTATTTACTATATGTCAAATATGAGGGGAAATGAAGTAAGGGATGGAGGTAAGAGAAGAGAACAGCTCACTTGAACCTACATGTCATAGCCCTAGTGTAGGCAGAAAAAAAAGTAGAAAAAATTTCTCCAGCTTAAACAAGCTTCACGGGGTGAAGGGTGAAGAGACTGCTTATGAATTTAAAGATCAGGGAGGGCAAGTACCTAGCACCCATACCACTCTTCCTCATCCTGTACCTATGGCAGACAGTACTAATTGATCACAGCACATTTCCCCACTGAGTCTCAGAATCCTTCCTGGCACCGTGCTCCAGGCAGACACTACTGATGGATCAGAGTAGTCACAAGAAATGAAACGTATTTGCCAACCCAGGAACTTTAAACCAATCAGGCCAAATAAACACACTACGTCTCACAAGATATAATAAATGAAAAACATGGAACTTATTATCTCATGTGTGTAAAAGTGGGGGCTAACATATTCATAGATTTTCATAGTCAAGAGACAATATTTGAACTCCTTGCCATGTGTGAAATTCCCTGGTAGGCCCAAAAGGTCACACTGAAGTGCATTAGAATAGGCCCCAGTAGCCCTTACGTGGAGAAGCAGAGAGTTTGGACTTGCTGGTAGACCTGGGGTGCCTCTTACACCTTTGCCTGGCACTGAGGCCAGCCCAGAATAGGTGCTCATAAGCAGACAACAGTTGGATAACTAGGTCCCAGGCACTGTCCTAGACACCTCTGGGCTGATTAGCTCTTGAGTAGACTGATGGAGATCAGCCCCTCCAGAGCCATGCAGACATACAGATGTGGTCAGTTAAATGGATGCAGACATATAAATATACACACATTTAAGGTCAAACATGGCATTTCTGAATACAGAGCCACATGTGGATCAAGCAGGCCTTTCTGTAGCTTTGTCCTTTAGGCCAAAATTAATAACAAAAAATGTAACAATAACAGGTACTCTTTGTTGAGCACAAGCCCTGAGCCAGGCCCTGTACTAGATGCATCACATAAGTTATTTGATATTCACCAAACTCTTACGAGACTGATATGATTGTGCTGGGTGGGAATCGACTCAATGGCAACAGGTTTTGGTTTTTGGTATAAGGTATGTAATTTAAAGGAGAAAAGTGCAAACGGGAGACTTGAGGGAGGTTGAGTCCCCTGACCTAGGTCCCATGGCTAGGAAGTGGCATAATTGAGACCGTCGATGATAATAATTAGTAAATGCAAACAATTAACATAATTATTATAGTAAGAACAGCTCCCAGTTAGAGATGTTCACTCTGAGCCCTGCAGACCCTGGGCTGGGCCCTTTGCAGACATTAACCCATTTCATCTCTTCATAGCTCTGTACAGCAGACACACTAATGATCTCCATTTTACAGATAAGGAAACTGAGGCTCAAAAGAGTCAGGATGGAAACTCAGTGCTACCTGACTCCTGAGTTCATGTTCTTATTCCCTTTGCTAAAATGCTTGCTATATAAGAGTGCTGGCTCTGAAACCAGGGTTCAGATCTTGACTTCACCCCTTAGCAGCTGTGTGACCTTGGGCAAATTAAAAAAATAATCTGTGTCTCAGTTTCCTCATCTGTAAAATGGGAATGATGATCGTGTTTCACAGGATTGTCCGGGCTTGGTAGGATGAGGCATGTTCCATCCTGAGCCTGGCAGGTAGAACGTGCTCTGATTATGCTTGTAAAATGGCTTCGTTTTACAGATGCATTGAGGAGAGTCCCATGGTGGTGGATGTGTGTTGCCTGGGGTAGGGTGAGGTGGGGGCTGTGGGCTCAGCTGCTGGCATCACCAGCCTCTCTCAGCAGGCTCCACAGTGCACAGTCCTCCAAGCTCAAAGCCGTGCTCATTCACAGCTCCTCCAGGGAAGGACCGAGGCCTCGAAAGCGGTGTTGCCCTTTCCGAGTGCGATTTGCTGACGAGACCCTACGGGACACAGCACTCCGCTACTGGGAGCGCAGTTGTGCGAGTAAGCAGAGAAGATGGGGGAGGGGCAGTACTTTAGGAGAGCTCCAGCTTGGAGCAGGAGGCCAGAGGCTGTGGCGCTGGACCCTGGAGTGAAGGGCTGTCTGCCAGGATCAAAGGCCACTGACCCTTCATTGGCACCTGAACTGGCTTCTTTGGAAGATGTCAGAGTGACCTTCATTGAGGTCCTCGGTCCAGCAGAGTACTACCAGGGAGTAGCCACAGTGGTGGCTCAGGAGGCAATGGCCACCCAGGCCTGGCCACCACAGCAGGACTTTTCACTGCCAAGGGATCTGTCTTGGAGCCAGCACCCACAGCCTCCCGACCCTGCAGCCTACAGGGGCTGGAGAAGGTCCAGATGCCACCCAAAGCATCACTTCCCATCTCCACAGAAACAGACCTCTTACCTCTCCTAGGGAGGTGGCACCACTGGCCGGGCAAAGAAGTTAAACTCCACCAGCTCCAAGCTGGAGCTGCCCGGTCCAGGTTCCCAGCAAAAGTTTGCCCTCTGCTCCCTGGGAATGGGTGTCATAGTGTCTATGGCACAGTTTACAGTGAGTTTTTTGAAGGGGTGGCAAGAGGCTGGTGTGAAGAAGTGGTGTCCTTGGTCTGCCATGACCTTTACAAACTTTTCTCCATCTGCCCACCTCTTCTCTTCTCAGCCCGGTGTGGCAGGACCAGCAGCCCTCAGGGCCCCCAGCAGCCAACATCCTGCATCTGTTCATTGAGCACCTACTATGTGCAGTTTGAGGAAACAGCAGCCCCAAAGCCTAGCTGTGGGTTCAGCTCTATAAATCCAGAACCTTCTTGGATTCAGGAGGAACCCCACCCAGCCTCTTTAGGGTCACAGGAAGTTGGAGATGGGAGCTGCGGCTTGCCCAGCCTCTGGTTGTTAGATGGGGAACTGAGGCCCCTAGAGCACAAGGGGCTTGTGAATGTCACACGGCAGCCAGGAATAGAAGCCAGAGTGCCCCAGGGCCACTCTTGGGAATCCAAAGAAAGGAGGAAGGAAGCCCAGGAGACACGATCTGTTGCCAATGGCAGTGGCTGACATGAGAGACACTTCCTTGCCAGCCCCTGGCCAGAAGGAGCTGTGGTCACCACCCCAGGGCACCAGGGTGCACAGGAGAAGAGGGGGGCGTGGCCTGCTGCTGCCCAGTCATTTCCATCCTAAGGCAGCCCTTGGGCAATTCAGGGTCCTTGACCAGCCAGAAGGCCAGATGTTGGGCACAAAAGGCTCTCCACCCTGAGACACGCCCTCCAGCCATCCATTGTCTCTTAGAGTTCCATGGTGGGGTGATGGACCCTCCCACTGTGGGAAAGGGGACCCATTTTGAGCCGGAACAGGATTGTTGTTGGGGGGCACAGCCTAGGTAATAATGGCAGAAGCAGTCATGTTAAGATAGTTTTAAAACCCAAGTCTGTTCTGGAGGCAGCCAGAAGGGGCTGGGGAGCCTTGGGTTGCCATGGAAACGGGGCTCTGCCTGGCCTTGCGTGCCAGAGGAGGAAGGGGAGGGCGGTGGCACCGCTTGCCCTGTTAGGGTCTGACCTGTGCCTTCTCTCCCACAGTCCGGCAGAGCCTCCTGGAGAGCGAGACAGCCTCTCAGCCCTTTGTGTCAGAGCAGGTGTTCAGGAGTGTCTCAAGATGGCTGGAGAGTTTGCCCAGAACCCTGTGTCCTGGGGCCAGGCAGGAGAAGGCCATGGCCAGCTCCTCGTGGAGCTGGGACTGCCCTGGCCTGTGAGGCTCCCTCATCACCTTGCAGACCTCCAGGCTGGGCCCTGCCAGCCATGGGTGGGCCTGGGACTCGGGGTCCACAAGCTCACGGCCTCCTGTCTCCCTCAGGCCCACCCAGGAGCCGCTGGGCCATCTCTTTGAGAACGCCTCCATGAGCAGCGGCCTGCCCTGCATCCACAGGGCATCCACTCAGAGCCAGTGGGGGCACCTCAAAACCCACCTGGACACTCACAATACCCTGGAGCAAGTGGGCAAACTGCCCCGCTCCTGGAGCCAGAAGTTGGTGAGCACCTGCTGGTGGCCCACCACCCAGAGCCCCCTGACTGGGCCGGGTGCCT